AATAGCTGATATAGGCTGTATCCTCAATATTCGTGATGTTTTTATTATATATATATATATATATATATATATATATATATATATATATATATATATATATATATATATATATATGTGAAGTAGGCATATTGTCATCTATATTTTCTATTATTATTCTTATTGGGTGAAATGTTCTTTTAATGATTTGACGGGATTAGAGTAAAAACTTAACCAACTATTCTAGTGCCTTATTAAGATTTCTCTCTCATTCGCCATGTCATGTTTCAGGTCAGTTTTTAATAATTATTGCTAAAGCTCCAAATCCCAAAACCAGTTATTTATAAATTAGAGGTAAATACTAGTATGAAATTTACCTATGTTTCTTTGAATGGCTTAAACTATTTGTCTTGGTCACCGGCTGCATCTATATCTATTTGTGGAAAATTCAAACTTGGTTATATTAATGGGAAGGTTAATGGTTAAAAAGGTAAATATTGTCCTTTTTTTTTTTTATATCGTGTCCATCTCTTTTTTTTTTTCTTTTTTTTAATCTTAAATTCATCCCTTTATGTTTAATTTTTGTTTTATTTCATTTTTCTATTAACTTTATGCTAGCAGTATTAACTTGTTTTTGTTATCCTAATCTCATCCCTCTCCATACTCTATTTTTCTATCTTAATCTTTTTTTATCAAATTTAAAAAAAAATTTTGAAAAAAAAATAAAGATATATCTGGTCATTCTTTCTAAAAATTAAAAAAAATAAAAAAATAAAGCTAAAAATATTTTTTTATCCAAAATATCCTCTATGGGCTTAAATTTATATCTATAATAGTAAGTAAATTTTGAGTATAACATAAAATATTTATAACATTTTTTTTCAAATGTGAAGAGAGTTTTAGTTAAATTTTTAAACTTTTAAACTTTTAAATTGTATTTATAATTTTATAATACCTCAAAAGAGTCTATTATTATATACTTATTTTAATTTTATAAATTTATTAATTTTAAAAATTTCACTAGAACTCTCTTCACATTTAAGAAAAAAATACTATAAATATTTTATTTTATATTCAAAATTTGCTTGCTATCATAAAGATAAATTTAAGCCTACAAAAGATATTTTGGATTAAAAAACTATTTTATCTTCACCTTTTTTTATTTTATTCAAAAAAAAAAAAAGAGAGAATGAACGGATATATCTTCACCTTTTTTTCTAGATTTTTCTTATATTTCAATTTTTATTTATTTAAATTTGATATTAAAAAATAAGATTAAGATTTAAAAAAAAATAGAGTAGATAAAAGAGATTAAGATAGAAAAGAACAAGATAACACCATTAGTCTAAAAATTAATAGAGGAACAAAATTAAGATAAAAAAAATGTAAAGTGATGAATTTAAGACAAAAATGAGTAGAAGGACACAATAATGATTAAAAAAAAAAGAGTAGAGGGACCTCTGCAACCATTGACCCTTAATGAGAAAATTAAAATTTTCAGTGTTGATTATCCCACCTTTGAAGAGCGACAAACAAATGACCAACTTGTGATGTCTTGGATTTTGAATTCTCTGGAAATCAAGTTATACGAAATGTTTCTATTTTTTGAATTTATGGGATCTAATAAAAAATATGTATAGTCAATAATATAATTTGTCTTGTATTTATAAATCCAAGAAGTATATTGCTGAAGCAACACAAAAGAATGAATCTTTTATTGAATACTTGGGGTATTTTTAAGGTGTTGGCTCTCGATTTTGGCTCTCTATTTTTATAAATTTTCCAATAAAAATATCAAAAATTGAATATTTTATTCGATTTTTTTTATTTTTAAAATTCAGTCTTTTTTATTTGTTTTACAAGTTTTGTCAGTTTCGAAAAAATCAAAGAGTGAGGCTGGAAGATTGTATATCATTGGATTTATTAGAAGTACTGTTGATTTCTCTTTATTCAACAAAAAAAATTCTTTATTCACCAAAAAAGATTGTATGGTACCATTATTGCGTTAATCTATGTTGCTAACATTGTCATTATAGGAGATGATAGTGAAGGAATTAATAATTTAAAATTTTTTTCTCAAAATAAAATTTAATATTAAAGCTCTTTGAAAATTAAAATACTTTCTTGACATTGAAATAGTTTATTCAAACAACTGTATTTTTATTTTTATTTTTTAAATATACTTTGGACTTTCTTAAAAAAGAGTGAGAAGCTAGCTGCAAAATCTGTTTATATTTATGCTTATTACAATCATGCTTTCTTGACATGTCTTCAGGTAAGCCTCTTAGTGATGCTGATGAATACAAAAAACTGACAGGAAAATTGATTTATTTAACTATAACCAGACGTGATATTATGTTTCTCGTTAGTCTAGTAAGCTAGTTTTAACATATAAAAATAAATAAATAAATAGCGACAAAAGTCAGCACAGACATGAAGTTATTAGCATACAATGATCGATTAGCGAATGAGTAGCGATCGTTATCAATTTCTCGACGTTTTAGGTTCATAGTGAAGGAACACTGACTAACTAATGATGGAATTTCAATGATAGAACATTATCATCATTGACTTAAATAGTAAATTTTTGGCGGGTAATTCAGCAACGAAATACCATTTGAGTTGCGAGGGATTTTAGCGACGATGGTATTGTCACGTTGCTTTTTTAAGCTAGATATGGGGAGATGATTGAACAAAAAAAAGCAAAAAAAAAAATCAGTGATGGAACATTCTATAGTTGATTATAGGAAAAATTGGCGCAATTCCAAAAATCGAGCAGCGATGGACACTTATTTTTAGTGATGGAATCGTGTCCGTCGCTAAAAAAATCCCTCAATATGGAAGAACCCTTCTTCCTTTATTTTCTCTCTCCTTCGTCCCTCAGCCGTCATTGCCACTCTTCCTCTATGTCTATGTCGACAAAAACCATCTCATCACCCCATTCTATCCTCTCTCTCACTCTTGACTACTTCTTTCTCTCAAAAAGGGTAAGTTTCTTGTTTTTATGTTACCTATTTGATTCGTTATTGATTTTTATATATGTTAATTGTTAGTAAATATTTTAGGAAGCTTGAATTTATGTTATTTGAAATTTAATTGAGTATGTTTTTTATTGGAATTATTTTGAATTAATTAGATTTGGTTGTTGATAAATTAGGATAAAATTTTGAGTTTGGAATTTGTTATATAATTGATTGATGGTTTCTTATTTATGTTGATATTTGGTGGATTTTAGTTTACGGTGGTGTTACAATAATTAAAAATAAAAGTATTGAATTTGATAATTAACTTATTGGAAAGAAAATAGAGTGTTAAATTTTAAAATTGACTTAATATAAGATTACTTGAACTTAGGATTTCAAAATTGATATTATTTTTTGGTCAAATTTGTTTGATATAGATAAAAATTTAGTTGTTGTATGAATTATGGTATTAATTATTCGTATACAAATTTGTTAATTATTAGTAAATACATTAGGAAACTCGAATTTATGTTAATTGAAATTTAATTGAGTATGGTTTTTTTTATATTAGAATTGTTTTGAATTCATCAAGTTTAGACTTTGATAAATTAGGATAAAATTTTAAGTTTGTAATTTGTTATAAATTGATTGATGGATTCTTATTTATGTTAATATAAGATTATTTGAAGTTAGGATTTCAAAATTGATAAATTACTTTTTGGTCAAATTTGTTTGATATAGATAAATATTTAGTTGTTGTATGAATTATGATATTAATTATTCATATACGAATTTGTTAATTATTAGTAAATACGTTAGGAAACTCGAATTTATGTTAATTGAAATTTAATTGAGTATGGTTTTTTTATATTAGAATTGTTTTGAATTCATTAAGTTTAGACTTTGATAAATTAGGATAAAATTTTAAGTTTGTAATTTGTTATAAATTGATTGATGGATTCTTATTTATGTTAATATTTGGTGGATTTTAGTTTCCGTTGGTGTTACAATGATTAAAAATAAAGGTATTGAATTTGATAATTAAGTTATTATAAAGAAAATAGGATGTTCAATTTTAAACTTAAAGTGTTATTTTAAAATTGACATAATATAAGATTATTTAAACTTAGAATTTTAAAATTAATAAATTATTTTTGTTCAAATTTGTTTGATATAGATAAATATTTAGTTATTTTTTAATTATATTTTTTAACATGTGTCACTATTATCTTACGTCTTAGTCCACTTATCACTTGTTACTAAAAAATTGACTGAAATCTTATTGGATAAGTCACATTAAGAAAATATTAAGAGTACATGGATGAAATACGTGGTTAATCGTCTCGCTTTAAAGACATCTTGTCCGAGTTGGGTTCAACTGACACTTACAACCAAACTTGAGTGCAACGTAGAAAGATCATTAACTTTAATACATTAGTAGTGATTTTAATTATTTCTCTATATATAAATACCCGTTTGATTTTCTACAATATGAAAGTGTCACTTATAAGCTACGAAAAACGTGACTCGTTGTAAATACGCTGATGTGTTCAATTATGAGAAAAAGAAAAAATATATATTTATGGAGTAGGCAAATTGATATCCGCATTATTTCATAAGAAACTAACTTGAGTCTTTTGGATGGACAAATGTCATCCACCAACGAGTTGGAATTTGCAAAAGGTAGGGTCCCCTTCTGTAAACAATTTACTCTATTCAGCTAAAAACAGAATGCACAAGTCTTTTGGATGGATAAATGTCATACACCAACTAGTTGGAGTTTTGCTATATTCTGTTTTTTTTTTTTAATTATTATTAATTATCAAATGTACATAAACAATATTCATGAATGGAGATAAATCACCACACCAAATAATATCCTAGATACCTAGGCTTAGCTAGTGTATACATACATCTATTCCTATTGACAAATTACAGAGCTTAATCATGAACTTTAACCACTGGAATTGGAGTTAGCAGAACTAACTAACAGTCAGAGGAATTTTGATCTCAGGCTAGGTTCTTCATTTCTTTTCATCCTTGATCTTTATTTTGTGGAATTTATGGCATTTCAATCTCAGCTTGTGATGAGGAATCGTGATGAATCTCCAAATTGTCGGAACTAGACGCATATTCATACCTCGAAAAGCTCAATTTATCCGTATCAAGTGCTTGAGCAAAGGTTGAAGCTCTTCTAGGAACACGAGTTTTGGCTCCATTGTAAAAGTATTTTGCAATACTATCTCCCTTGCTTGGACCACCCTTACCACCTAGAGTGACATTGTCTTCATTTGCTTCTTTATGATGCCGCGAATTCCTTAACGAGCGAATGAGAAATAGTAGAGAACAGATAGTAGATATCACAGCAGATATAATGTAGATACCCTTGAAGCTGCGAAGGTTCAAGCTTTCGACATCATTATCAGGTGCATTACTTGAACACTCAGGTGAGGGGGCGAACCACCGTTCTTCCAGTTCTGTTATTCTTCCATTCTCTGATAGGCGTAGAATCTCTTTGGAAAAATCAGCAGCAATAGGAGAGCCTTTTTGGAATGCCTGCAGGAAATATCATAACACTTGGTACTAAATAAATGTTCAAAGAAATGGCCTCAGGGCCTGACCATGTTACGATTCTTTAATAAAGTTCCTATCATCAGAATGTAAGCAAAATATAAGCTCAGTGTTGCAAAAGACTACTTACAAAGCCTAGCCCTCCAAATCTGTATGTGGCTTTTGTGCCAGTGTAGCTTTTACAGTACTGATTGAGGAAAAGTTTCTCATATGGGAGTTCAAGAAATGCAGCAGCTATCTTTTTTCTTTCGAATTCAGTGGTGTAATCGTTTTCGCGGTCAAAGGTCTTGATGTTATTCGAGTTAAATTTAAGAACATGCTCAAGGTAATCCACGACGAAAGAATCGTCATCACAACCAACAATTAAATTGCCGTTCTTTATTTTCTCGAACTCTGAAAAATTCGGTTTCATTCGTTGCACGGTGAGCATTGAAGTCAAACTGGCCGTGTAGCTTTGGGTTAAGATAAATACAACACAGAGCCAAACTACCACCACTATTTTAGTGAAGTTGCTATGAAGGCTCTCCCCTGCAAAATGTAACAATGAGGTTCGGATTAAGGTTACCAATAGAGAGAGTGCCATCAAATGATATGCCATATGTAACTTGTAAAACTCAATACTTACTGTGAGAAAAGAAAAGAGAAGAAAATGTGAACCAAAGTGCGGTTCCAATCTGATACTCCCGGGGGCCTCCAAATTCTGGATTAATTTTGTGCTCTATGAACCAAACTACAAGCATTGTGTAGATGAATATAGCACCACTCACTATCCACATCTCCAAGTTGAAAGGTTTCAAGAAAATCCATGATGTGTCTTCATTCTCAAGTGGAACCACCATTGACAATCCTGTCTCTGCATAAGGTTGAGTAAACTCTACGCGTTCTGTTCTTTTGGCTAGTATGGTTATATCACCAACGGCAGCATCCCAAGTCTTCCAATAAATGGCACAAAAGACAAATAACAACTTGTCAGGTAAGTGCTGCTGAGAAAACAACTGTTACAAGCAGACAGGTGCAAAAGAAAGGCAAAATCATACGACTCCTAAGATGGGCCTCAATGGACTAGTCAAATTCCGAATGTTTGACCATGAGAAAAGTCTGGAACTGTTTCATAGACGTGTATGATGGAGAAATTTCAGTTTCTTATCAGATACCTTGCTACATGAATTTGTTCTTGGTTATGAGTAGCAAATTACGGTTAATAGATGAAATTACTCCGAAAGGGTACCTTCAATATGCGTTCATACTAAAACTTAGAGGACAGCTTATCTGAATGGTTTGGTTGATGAACAGTTAGGGTTTTTTGCACATATATATGCTAGCATTGATTAGATCATTAATGAAACAAATTTTGAATAGGTATTGTCAGCATAAAGACTTCTTATTTATTTATTTTTTTTTCCCTCTTTTGACAAAGCATGAAGAGCACAAATGAAAGTTTGAAACAAAATGTTCAAGCTAAGTGTCCTTACCTTGTTGCGGACACCTTCAACCATTTCATCATACGACCCCTCATGCACGAAAAATTCATGTGGTAGTGGATAATTCAATTCTTCTACAACTTTATTGAAGAGGTCGATGCAAAAACCTTCAGGAATAGTCTTGCCAGCTCGAAATGTCACAAACTTATCAAAGGAGGTTCTTTTGGGGACTATTATTCTCAATGGCTTTGCATTGGTAGGCATTGCCCATCCTTTCGGGTCTCGCCAGTTAAGGTCCCCAGGCCAGATCACTGGACCTGCCAAACCTCTTGTGATATTGCCAACGTCACTGTTTTTGCTCCTTCCTTTGCCTTCTTCCACTTGGAGGGTATCTGAGAAACCGAAATTCGGCAACCAAAAATCCAGTTCCTTATATTTCTTTCCAACCACATTTGCAATCCTTAATATAGGAGCTTGTGACAGCATCCCATCCTTGAAATGTATTTTGCCACTCAAACCAGTGAAATCACTTTCTAATACGCTGTTTAGCAACGTTATTGGACTACTGGAGTTGCTACCTAATTTTTCTATGGCCTTTGTCACAGTACCAATGCTATCATAGGCTCTTAAAGCTTGAATTCCAGGATGAAAATTATCTTCATCTAGATACTGTGATCGAAAAATTTTCCGGAACTCTGTTTCAAATCTTTTGTAAGAACTGCTGGAAGAATAGTAGGTTTGGATTCCTAAAGTGCCTTCCATAGAGGAAATAACAGAATTGTCCATAGAATCCAAGAAACTAGTAATGCTGTTTGCAACTATCCAGGCTGTATCTCTGCCTACAAGTCCCATATTCTTAGCTTCTCTAAACAAATTAGTGAGCATAGGCAAAGATGACTGAAGAACAATAAAAACCCGAGATTCGATATCGTTCTGTAACTTTATAAGCTCATCTTGAACAACCTCTTTCGGATTTGTTAACAATGAAAATGGTGGAAGAACCAAGCGGTACTCAATCTCTGAACCAACCTCTTGTAGAGCCTCAGATAAAAGAGCTAAATTGCCAGATTCACCTCCATACACATCATCTTCATAGATCACTACTACCTTTTTCCAATGATAACAACGGACAAGAGCTGCAACGCATCTCGTCTGTTCTGACCAATCACTAGCCATTCTTATTAGAAAAGGCCAACGAAGTGAAGTTAACGGCAGCGTTATGGCCGGTGCTGCAAATGAAAGAATTGGAACTTGAGACCGGTTTCCCATACTAGCAACCAGGGCTGCTTCCTCCCATTTGTCCATGCCAATAATCACTTCTACTTTCTTCTCTTTGATCAACTCTTCAGCTGCAAGAAAAATTGACCAGTTACTATTTCTTCAATTTTTGTTAATGTTAAGCCAGAAAGTACTCAAAATCATCCAGAGATGCCTTGTTAATTACCTGCATTAACTGCTTGAAGAGGCTCTCCTCCAGGATGCCTGAAGTGAAGAGAAAGCTCGTGGTTTCTTGAAATATTGTTGTAGTTTTGGACTGCAATTTCCATGGCCGTTTTCTCTTCTTTCCCAATTCGGGTACTAACATCAATGATAGCACCAATATTAGTAACCTTGTTGGTGCTGGCCGCTGCTTCAACTCCATTGGAGAGGGTGAGAAGGAAGATGACGAGCACAGATAAAAGAAAGCAAGGATTTGGAAATTTATTGAAAGAAATGTGGGGGAAAGTTGGTAGGGAATTTTCTCTGGTGAACATATTAGTCCTTTTCATGCTGTTATTCAAAGTAGTTATTACGAAAGGCTCGAATTCATTAAAATACATGGACATGGTTATGTTTGTATATATATATAGAGAGAGAGAGAGAGCGCGCAAGATTAATTCTGTAGAAGGAGAAGACCAGATGGAACCTGAAATTGCTAAGAAAAACTGGTAGAGTTGAAGATTCTATCTGACCTGGTCTGCCTGGACTAAATCAAATTAAATATTTGTCCTCTTTGGAAGTTTGGAAAACAAGCTACCAAGAATAATGTAGAAATGGATGGGATGGAAACTTTGACTTCAAGATCCATACGAAGAATAATGTGGAGGTCTAATGTTATGAAAAGTATATTTCTGTATATCTACCTTTGACTTGAACAAAAGTAAATATTTTGAATACGATGCATATTTAACCAATTACTAATTGCAGCAAGAACCACAAATCTTGTTTTCATTGCAGCTCTCTCACATTTGGGTATTTTCTGGGTTTGGTGGTGTTATATCCGAGAAGTTTTATATAGTGCAGCTCCTCTAAGTACCAATAGTTATAATAGAAGAGACAGAAAAAGAAGATTGGCAGAGACTAGAGGTAGGCATACAAGGGTCATTTCTGTACAGTTCAACCCGAAGAGTTCATAAACACGCATCACCAAAGTCTACTAAGCCCAACTCAAGCCTGAAAGTCACAACATGGAACAATAACAAATCATGATAAATCAAATGGGCCCAAAGCCTTCAGAGGACGGCTACCCCTACAAGGCATGCCGCTGCTCCAGAAAAAGTTTAAGAACTCTTCTATATTGAGACGCTCCGATTCAGAAAAAACAAAACAAACACCACTTTTCTCCGCTATTAACATTTAATAAAAATTTTCTAATAATGATATCAGTCAAACCGTTTGTGGTCATGGTAGCATTAATATCATAGCAAATCAAATATAATAATAACAGAGTATCATCACATGTCGACTCAATGTTAACGCCAAAGAAAAAACAATCTTAGTCTTTTTTACCATGTAAATTGCACTCATGGAAGGATTTTAAAATTTCAAAACAAGTTCTAATTTCGAAATAATTTTTTTTATCTATAAACTATTTACATATAATTAAATACTTTCTTTTGAAAAAAAAGTATTTTTAAGTCAATTTGTCATCTTTTGATTATTAATTTGATTATTGGAGAATCTCTCAACCAATTAGAGAAATTTTTTTGCAAGTATCAGTGCAAGAAGCCATCTAGCATTCTTAGTGAGTTATTAACCCTCATTCCATCTACGTGAGTCATGTTTCTTAATTTTACTAAACGAATCTTCTTCTTCTTCTTCTTCTTTTAGAAATAGGGACAGTACCCTAAAATTTTATTAAATGAATAAGGAAAAATACAAGGAGGGGGATAAAATCAGCCTAGCCCAACATGCTGGAGGACAAGATTGCTTGGACCCCTAAACTGAAAGTTACAGAAGTATTGAAACTACCAGGGACCGCGAGGCTATTACTGAGTAAAAGTTACAGTCCTACAGATTACAATCTAAAAGAGTTATTTCTGTCGAAAATTATATAACCCCATCCGATCATCTAAGATAGCTGCACGACAGTTCATAAGTAAATCAAGCAAACTGGAGATAAATGCTAAAAGGCCTACTTTGCTAATCTATATGTTGTCATATTCCCTTCCCTAAAGCGGTGTAGAATCGAGGTTTTCGAATTCAATAACATTTGATATTTTCTAAAAATATATGTAAGACTCCAAGGACACTTTACATTCCTAAAAAATTCACCCTTGTTATTTGTTCCAGGCCATAGAAGCTTGAATAAGCCATGATCATTGCACCTTTATCATCTCTTATAATTCCACCACCGCTGCACATATTATTTCTTCACACTCCATTTGTGTTTATTTTAATTTTACCCATGGGAGGCAATGCCGATTTAATCCAATTCCCTCTATCCACTGTAACTTGATGCATATAAACAGCTAGGGACTCTAAACAAATGTTTTCATGAAATGAGGGTGCTATTCTCGGTCTAAAGGACCTAGTGATATCATGTAACCATTGAATCACCTTGTACTTTATACTTACCCAGGACATGCTTTCATTTTCAAATGCAGATTTATTTCTAGCTAACCAAATTTCCTATAGTATACAGTTACAGATTAAAACACGTGAGAAAAGTTTTTTAGATGAAATATCACCTATGCAGTACCATGCAAAGATTAGTTGCTGCTCTTGTAGGGAGGTTCATGATTGCACTAAAATAATTCCATAAAATTTTAATCGTCTCCCCTAGAATAAACAGATGGTTTTTTGTTTCCATTTATGCAACAAGACAGCACTGACATTTAGAAGCCACTGCTCTCCCATATGCCTTAACATTTGAGACCACTATTACTGCATTCTTTAATATTTTTTAGACCAAAACGCCAATCTTCTTAGGTAACCACTTGTTCCAAAGGCATCTCCACCACTCAAACTTCGGAGCTACTAACCTATTTTTTTATGGTAAACTTTCGCACTGAACTGGCCTATATTGGAATATATGTATATAAGTTGATCATCTAGTTTATCATCTAATATCAGGTGGTCTAGCTTATTTTGCACCATCTTTAGCAGTGAGAGGAGTATGATTCTGTCTGTCATTGCTTTAAAAATCATCAATTTCAGATCACCTAAGTGAGGGGGAAGGTCACTAAAAGCCTATTTATCCGTCTAAAGCTTAATATTACCATATGCCCCACCACCCAAGTCAACCGGTCTAACAACTGCACTACGTGGGGTATCAAAGTTTTTCAAACCAAAAATCTTTTTTCCTTTTGACATTTGCAATTCCATATTTTGAACGAATGAAAGTGCTCCATAATGATGTACTCGACAGGTAAGCCCATGCTAGTTTTCCTTTCATTGTATACATGACTTCACTAAGATTTTTCAAACCCAAACCACCCTCCTACTAAGGGAGAGAGACTGTTCTCCAACTCACTCAGTGATGTCTCATATCTCTACCAGTATTCCAGAAAAAATTTGAAATATACCCTTACAACCTCATGAGAGTAGCCTTTGGAATTGGCAGTACACCCATCGTGTAGACTGGAATGGAGTTCAGTACACTTTAGATAAGAGTTACTTTATCCCCTGTTGATATCCACCCCGCTAACTTGTTTTTCATTTTATTCTCCAAGTTAATAAAGTATTCTACCCGCAACCTGCCTTTGAAAAGTGGGATGCTCAAATATGTTGTGATCGCTGAGGAGACTAAAAAACCTATCCAAGAAGCAAGGAGCGCTCTTCTGCTTGTGGAGAGCTTACTGTTGTAAATAATGGAACTTTTGTTACTGTTCACAACTTGACCACTTGCCTCTGTATATGTCTACAACAACTTCTTAACTTTATCTATGTTTCTCTTGCTCCCATTGCAAAATAACAACATATCATCTGTGAACAAAAGATGAGATACCACAGTGCAAACACGTCCAGCATAGAAAGTCTGGATAATTGCACGTTCTACTAGTACTTTTAAGTTACAGCTAAAGGTCTTCTAAGCCAATGTAAACAAAGTAGGAGAAATGGGGTCTCCTTGCCTTACTCTCCGAAAGATTTAAAAAACCCAAATGAATTGGAGGTAATATGAATAGTGTATCAATAGTTGCATATACACTTATAAATCAGCTCACACCATTTATCATAGAACCCTATCTTTTCCATTACCTGCATAAGGAGGCCCCATTCTGATCTATCATAAGCTTTTGCCACGTCAACCTTTAAAATCAGATTTCCCCCATGAGTTTTCCTATCAATATCACTGAATAATTCTTGCATCGGTGCAATATTTCATGTATCAATCTGCTTATAACGAAACCAGCTTGTTCTTTAGATAGAATGCGTGGAAGGATCCTAGAGAGTCTATTAGAGATTATTTAAGCTAGAATTTTATATGAAAAATTGTAAAGACTTATTGGACGAAGATCGGTAAATTTTGTGGGATTAGGATATTTTGGAATCAAAATCATAGATGTTACTATTGCATCTTTGGACAGGACCACCCTCTAAAAACCTCCTGGATTGCTAATAATACATCATTTCTAATAATGTTCCAGTAGGATCTGAAAAATGTTCCCGTAAATCCATTGAGGCCTGGTGTACTTTGCTCATCTAATTCAAATACCGCCTCTTTGATTTCCTCCATCAATAGAATCCTCATTAGATCTTCATTCTGAGTATCCATTACAAGGGTGGGCATTACATCCAAGAAAGAGTTGCCATGGACGTGGGAGTACTTGTGAAGATATCTTAAAAAAACTTCACGTACTGCTGCCTTACCTATTGTCCTGTCATCTTTACATTGAGACCCATCCTCTAATATAAGACTAAACCTTGAATTCACTATCTTGTTTCTAATGCTTGCCTGAAAAAATACTATATTTTGAACCCTTACTTCTAGCCATTTTATTCTAGATTTCTCCTAAAGCATCATCTCTTTCTGTTATACCAACCCAGCCAGTTTATCCTTTGCTTCTATCATAGACCTACAGTTATCCTGAGACCATTGATGTTGTAGCTTAGCCTCTGCCTAAATCAATTCATCTCTTTCCATATCTAGTTTTCAATTGACATCCCTAAATATGTTCCAATTCCACATTCTGAAGGCCCCTCTTAACACCGTTAGCTTCAATTGAAGGTTGAGAAAAGGAAGGTTGTTGTACGTGATGTTTCAGTTTGCATGCACAAAAGGTATAAAAATCTTGATGCAACGTCTATATTTTTTTGAATACAAAACGAGTAGGTTTCTTTGATGCTACTCCTATTGTTACTAATAGGGGACAGTGATTAGAGTATATTCTAGCTAGATGGGTACATTGGACATTTGAAAGCATTGACAAAGCCTTTGAATTAAACAGCACCTTATCTAAACATTTCCATACTCTCCTTCCCCCTTCCTGATTGCTGCACCATGTGAATTTACTCCCAGAATATCCTATATCCTATAGCCTTGTAACTTGAATGGTATCTTTGAATTCATAAATTGCTCCTAAACCCAGTTGAGTTCCTCCTGCTTTCTCAGACATATCAGTGATGGCATTAAAATCCCCCTACCATCTAAGGCAACGTTATGTTGATAGCCTTTAGACTATCCCACAGTTCTCTTTGTTCAGCAATATCACAACTAGCATATACTACAATGAACATTAACTTCATTTTAAAGGCTAGATCTTTGATCCCTAATTGATTGAACTACTTACATATCGATTATACCTCTATCTCTAGCACCTCTTTCCACAAAATCCATATGTGTTTGTTACTCAGGTTACCATGTAAGAAACGAATAAATTGTATTGATCTTGCAAACTTAGCCAGTTTAACTCCCATCTGCTTTGGTTTAAGTATAATTAAAAGTTTTACCTAATGTTAGCGAATGAGGCGTCTTAAATACCTCTTTTTGTCTAGGGCGACAGTTCCCTTCATGTTCCAGATTAAACTATTCATTTGGTAGGGAAAAAAACGGTTTCCTATTGTGATCTTCATCTAATCTAGTCACTCGTCTCCCACTCGCTTTGTGTCGGGGATAGATTTCAGACACCACACAAAGATAACAAGAAAAAAATTACTTGGAGAGGGAGGAGACACAAGAACACTTGATAAAAGATACTTTTTTTATTAGAAACTTAACTCACTACACTCTACATAACATCAAATCACTTATAACTATATATAGAGATACTCATACACATATAACTAGACATCCCTTAATTATTACACACGGAATACTAAACATTATATTAATGATACATCACACATAATTAGGTTCATGAATGTAATAACTACATTCATACTTAGCTATAATTAAGTTTACTTTCCAACATCCCCTTGTAAACTTAATTATCCACTCGGTCATGACTTTTCAAAAATTACTTGGTCCACATCCCAAAGGAAAATCTCGAATAGCAAAAACTCTTCTTGGAACTCTAAAACTTACTCCATTAGTGCTCGATTCTCCAAATTCCATTTCTTCTAGTTTCTTCTTCAATTCTTGTATTTCTTGGACAACATTATCATAATCTTTCCTCAAATCCTCATATACATCCCGCATCCGGCTCAAATCAAACTTTGTTTCATATAATTCTCTTTCATTAACATCCTTTATGATAATGTCATAGACACACTTCAAATGTTTTATCATACGCAAAGTCGCTTCATTTTCGGTATCTTTCTTGGTATATGCCTTAAATCCATATTGGGTATGTTTTCCCAATCTATCTTCAAACTCAACTTTAGTAATAAATTCCGGAGAATGATCTTGCCCAAACTTTTCACACAAATAACTTGCCGGAGGCAAATTCAATTTTTCAAGTAATTCCTTCAAAAATATTTTGAATGGTGCTTGAAACAACAACGAGCACAAGTACACTCCATTTCATCTTGTGAGGTTCTCTTCTTGACCTCACTTTTACTTTTAAAAGAGCTCTTTACCGGTTCTTTGCATTTCTTATGAAGTCTAACTCTTAACTCACACAAACTCAACGAGTTCTATTTTAAACAAACCCGGAGAAAAACTTTTTCAATTGTGTACTTTTACCACTTGTTGGAGATAGAAACCCGACTCGAGCTCGATACTAATTTGTTGGGGATAGATTTCGGATACCACACAAAGATAACAAGAAGAAAATTACTTGGAGAGGGAGGAGACACAAGAATACTTGATAGAAGACACTTTGTTTATTAGAAACTTAACTCACTCGCACTCTACATAACATCAAATCACTTATAACTATATATAGAGATACTCATGCACATATAACTAGACATCCCTTAATTATTACACACGAATACTAAATATTATATTAATGACACATCACACATAATTAGATTCATGAATGTAATGACTACATTCATACTTAACCATAATTAAGTTTACTTTCCAACACTTTATACCATTCTTCTTAATATGATTTTCTTCTATTTTTTGGATATCACCTTATCCTGTTTCAACTACTTGTTAAAATTCTCTTGGCCTTTGTCTACTGTCCACGAAGAAAAATCCCCACCCTGTTGTCCTCCTTCTGAAGCTACATGCGATAATAATTCTGTTTCTGTGTGTTCCATGATCATTCCATCATCTATGCTCAAGTGAGAGTACACGTTCAAGCATTCAAATGTAGTACTTGTGTATTTTTAAATGTTTGTGTGCTTTATGAGATGCCATCATTGTTGTTTCAGTTATGTTCTACCTAGCCTCTGTTATCAAAGGGTTTGCATGCAATATATCCTTATCATCCAATGTGTGCTAGTCTTTCTCTTTATCCTCAACTATGTGTTGGTCCCTATCCCTCTCTATCTTGCTTCCATCTTCCTCATTTTTCCTTCCATAATCATTATGGATTTGTTCATACTTGTTCCTGCCATCTGCGATTGGACTATTTTCTTCGTGCTTGATTAGGTATGGGATGATGAGGACTCCATTTGAGTAGCTAGAATCTCTTTTCCTTTGTCTTTATGTAACAAATTTCCATTATAATATACTATTGCTGTTATACTTTTCTGAAGATCAGTATGACTTAGTGGGTAGTGGTTGTACCTTTCTCTTTGTATATTGTCTTCCGTGTTTGTGCTTGGTGTGATGTCTGACTAACCAATGTAGTGGCGCC